CGGAGGCGGAGTGTGGACTCCTCTTCGGCGCAGGTGGCCTCGTGCGCCGCCAGTGTTGCCTCCCGGGTGGCGACGGCGGCCTCGCGGTCCGCCAGGTCTCTCTCCTTCGCGACCAAGGCGCGGGCGCGCTCCTCCAGCACCGTGGCGCGAGCCTCAAGGGCCTCTTCGCGCTGTCGGGACACCGCCTCGTTCTCCGCCGCCCGCCGTTCCCGGGCAGCGGCAGCGTTAAGGACTCCCTGGGCAGCGTCGAGCTTCTCCTCTAGCTCCGCCGCCCGGCTCCCGTATTGGAGGCGGAGGTCATCCCGCGCCTCGTCGAGCACGGCGGTGGCGATGAGGGCAGTCTCCCGCTCCTCCTCCACCTCCCTGGCGATCTCCGCCAGGTCCCTACGACGGGCCTCGAGCTGTGAGGCGTGCCGGCGGTGTGCCTTGCGGCCCGCCTCCACCATGGCCTCCACCGAGCGCCGCCCCTCCTCGACGCGCGCCCACGCCGCGTCGAGCTCCGCCCGCTCCTCCTGCAGGGCCTCCATCTGGGCACTTAACCCGTCCAGCACCGTGCTGTTCGCGGCGGCCAAGGCCTGCAGGAGGGGCTCCGCGCTCAGTGGGGCAGCGGAAGACAGAGGGGAGAGCCGCCTCGGTATGGGTGCCGCGCGGCTCGGCCCGCCGATTGACGTGCCGGACTCGGGGGCGTCCCCCGAAGCTGGCTCGTCCCAAGCGTCACCCGAGGGGTCGGGCCCGAGCGGCGCGCCCGCAGCCTCGTCGTGGTTGGCCTCGGAAATCGTCATCGCCTCGGGCGGAGTCGGGTCGGGGGTGTGGCAGGCTGCCTGGCGTGCGCGCGCCGCCTCTGCCTCCCGGACGGACTCCCCGGCCCGGCGGAGTCTGGCCTCCTCCCGAGCGGCCTCCTCAGCCTGGCGAACCCGGACGGCCTCCTGGGCAGCCTCCTCAGCTTCCCGGAGGCGGTCCGCGGCTTCCCGCCGGTCAGCTTCCCGCCTCCGGGCCTCCGCGGTCGCCGTCTCCTCGGCCTCAGACCGGCCGGACTTGGAATGGCGGGGGGGCGCGACGGGATCTCACTGAGGCAGAAGAAAAACCAGAAGACAAAAAGAAACGGGTGAGTGAAAACTCGCCTTGGGAGATGGGAGAATGAATACGGCCGCGGTGGGCGCGGGGACGAACCTGCGGGGAGGTCGGCTAAACGACCACCTCGGCGGCGAGATGAGGTTCCCCCGGCATGGCACGATCCCCCCCATCTTGCGGGGCCGTTTCTTCTTTCGCTCCCCCTCGGGCTGCGGCGTCGGCACGGCACCCTCCGGGCGCCTGCTGCTGGCACGCACCGCCCCGCCCCCTCGGGGAGGAGATGGGGGAGGGGTACCCTCCTGCTTCCTCTTCCCCCGGGCGTCGGCAGGGCGGCTGCCCCCCGGGCCCCCGTCGCGGGGCCCAGAAGCACGACCCCCTCCCGGGGTAGATTGTTCCCCCCTGCGGCTCCCGCCCACGCCATCGTGGCCTCGGGGGGCCCGCTCCCCCGACGCCCCGACCGCCTGCATGATGGCCAGAATCTTGGCGCGCTCTGGATCGCAGCAGAGGGGGAGGACCCCTTGAGGGATGAGGGATGCCTCCACGGAGCTGAGATTCAGCACCCGTTGGACCACCATCCTGAAGTCCTCAGGGTCCCAGTCCCATTTGCGCCCCTGGTGGGTCCTCATGTAGTCCTCGGGCCCGGTGTACTCCCAGGCGCCTCGGGCGCGCCGCTGGAGCGGCGCGATCCGGCGACGAACGTAGTCGCCGAACACCATGGCCCCCGTGAGCCCCTGGGATCGCAGACCCGCCAGGCGGTCAAGAACGGCGTCGTAGCCGTCTCCCAGATCTACCGCCGCCCGCCAGCTGGAGGCCTGCGCCGGGGGCTGGCTCGGAAGTCGGAGGTGCGCTTCGTCGGCGAGGGGGTGTAGAACCAATCGCTCTTCCAGTCGTCCCACTTTTTGCGGAGGACGTAGGGAATGTAGCGGTTCAGCACCTGCCCCCGCGGCTGGAAGTAGCAGCCACCGACTACCGTCGGCGGCGACACCGGCTGTACGGTGAAGAACCACCGGAACAGCCGGAGAAATGGGCGCACCCCGATAAACATCTCGCACAGGTGCGCGAAGATGGCCAACGTCATTATCGCGTTGGGGGTGAGGTGCGCCATCTGGAGATCATAAAACTCCAGAATATCCATGAAAAAAATAGAGAATGGCGGGACCAGCCCCGCCATTGCGAAAGAGAGGAAGAAGACGGACCGCCCCGGGTAGTGTGGCGCCGGGCGTCCCTCGCCCAGCGCGACCACCTCCCGGCCGGTGGCAGATTCCGGCATGAATCGGCGCGGCAGCCTGGCCTGCCTCTCGCTCACGATGCGGGAAGGCGGCAGCACGCTACCGTCGAGCGGTGCGGAGCCCCGTGCCATGACGCCGGCGGAGGAGGAGCTTGAGAGCGAGCGAGTGCGGCAAGGGTAGGGCACAGGAAACGAAGAGTTAGAGCACAAGTGGCGAAGGCAAGGGGAAGAGTGGCGAGAGGAAAGAAACGAATCCCTTTCTCGGCGTCTTTACACCCTTGCCAACGCTATGCCCGGCTCCTCGCTTCCCGTGCCCACTACCTCGCCCCCTCGTTTCTCGCGCCCACGCCTCCACTAACCCCACTCGCCCGTTTGCGGCGCACGCGGCAAATGTGCGGCCGTGGCGGTTGAGATGGGGCAGATTGTGCGCGCATTAACTACGGTTGCCAACCGTGAAAAGCGCCATCATCATGTCTCCAGGCGAAACGAACCGGCTCATCCCGATTCGCGCGCTGCTCGAGTAATGTAGCGGTCTTAAAGAGGCCGCTCATTATTGTCGGTCGGTTTTCCCTTGCCGATGCGCGCGATTTGCGACCGCTGGGTTTCTGTCCGCCTGTAGGGACCGGCCCCACCTGTCACCGGGCCTAAGGAGTGGCGTCACGCCCGAGCGCTTCCCTCGAGGGGGGCGATCGCCCTGGCGTAACGCCGGGGGCTACTGTCGGTGACATGGGGCCGGAGGTATCGTGACTAGAGGCTTGGGTAGCCGCGGTCACCCACTTGGCCTGACCCCCTCGGGGGGGTCGGGCCCGAGGATGACGTGGCCACCCCTCCCTCTGTCTCCCCGAGGGGTCGGACCGCTCCCGTTTCGGCCCCGAGGGCTGGGGCGCCCCGACCCCCTGTGGTTTTGGCGCCACGTGTGTGGGTTAGGTGAGCGCAGCGGGGCTCACCTAACCGCATTTATAGCAGGTTGGACGAGTGCACCACGCCGCATTTAATGCGGCGCCGCGCACGCTTATCCGGTCCGTGACCGGTCGCGGTGTGTGACCGGTCACAGACCGGTCAGATCGCGGGTTAGGTGGCAACAGGCGGCCTGTCACACGCCTCGCCCCGTCCCGTCGGAATGATGAGAGCTTCCTGGCTCTCGTCCCTAGCCGGAGCCGGCGTGCTAACTCCTGGAGTTGGTATGTCAGTCCCGGTCAGATCCATTCCAGGCTTCAGCGCAAGTATGGCAAGGAAGTCGCTGGCCATTAAATGAAGGTTGAAATGGGCGTCCACCGGGAAGGCAGGCGAGCGGGGCAGGAGGCATGTGCTCTGCTTGTCAGACGTTACTTCCGGCTGTAGACTAGCCCTCATTGTAAAAAGCATGTTTCCCTTCTTAGGCAGGGAGGGGCCCATGTGGTGACCCGGGACCAGAGAAAAAGGAGGCCCAGGCCTAGGAGAAAAAAGGAGGGAAGGAGGGGGAATGGGCGGGAGAGCCTGAACTCTCTCTCGCTCTCCGGCTCTCTGGATTCCTTCACGCACAGATCCACCAGAACACAGGAGTAGGGTGTTACGCTTCTCAGCGGCCCGAACCTGTCTACGTCGCTCGTGTCTTGTGCATTTCCTCTCTCGCTGACGTTCTTCAGATCAAGGGCGAAGAACCTCACGTAGCGCCCCCGGCCGAACCGGCAAAGGGGGGCCTGCGCGGTCTCCCGGTGAGGAGCCCCACGCTCCGTCAGCCCTAATCCAGTTGGTATGGGATTATATGATGGACACCACAGATTACAAAGGGAATAACAGAACTCGATGATACCGACGAGACCATAGTCGAGTTGGTCCGACTAGATCTCCCGGCGACTTGACTCCTGTAGGCTCCGGCTCCGTAGGCTGTGATGGGTGTGTTGGCGGTGAGATTCGATGCCTTAGGTCCCGCCCAGGGGGTCCCTTATATACCGCAGGTCAGTTGATCTCCAAGTAGGACTCGGAGATATCGGAGTCCTCACGATATGGTAAAAACCCAGCCTCATCCAAGTAGGACTCCTTCCAAACGTAGATTCTGCTTCTATCGCGGGATAGATTTCCTTAATGTATTCGGAAACTATTCGTACACGCGCGGGTATACCGTATCGGTACCCATCGTATATCCGAGGATAGACGGTATACCTTATCCATAACCCTGACAAACTCTGTATATATCTATGATTATACATGGTAGCAAACTAAAATAATAAAATAATAAAGCTGCACTAAAATAATAAGTGTTCTTTTAAAATAATAAAGATGCACATTGAAACATTAGAAACTCATATAAAAAGCGTTCGAATTGCAGAAGTGGTGTGTGAATATAAATTTTCCCTTCCGCTCACAGAAGAATAGAAAAAAAAGAAAAAGTTATTAATTGAAATCTCTATTTTATTATAAAAATTAAAGATGTTTTTACCTGTACTTTAGTAAATCATCCGTCTATGAGTCGATTTTTAAGTTGGTTCGCTTTTGAAAATACAAATCCGTATTTTAGTTAGTTTTCAAGCTCGTTCGTTTTTGGAAATACAAATGAAGTCGTATAAGAAATCTTTTAAAAAAAAACTTACATGCTAACTTGACACGATCAAACTCCTAATTACAGCTTATAATTTTCTAAAAAGATATATATATATATATATATCCTATTTCTATAATAAATTTTACTTTACCTAAGCTAATAATAAAATTAAAATAGCTTTCACCCACGGGCGGGACATTTTTTCTAAGGAAAAGAGAGGAAAAGGCAACCCCTTTCCTCGCGCGCGACCGCTGGCTGGCGGCGGAGCCGACCTCACCTCGCCGGAGTTTAATCCCCCCTCCATTCTTCCTCGTCCTGATTGCCAACGACGGCGGAGAGCTCGCCGGTGCCCGACGTACCGACGGCTCGATCAGTCCTTCCCATCCTCTGTTAGCCTCGCGTGACGCCCGCCTGCGGTGGGGGGAAGAACCTCGCCGTCGCACGCGATGGCGGGGACGCCACCCGATGGCGGAGGAGATAGGCCGTGGGAGTCGTACCACACCGCCTACACCAACGCCAAAGCTGGTGAGTGTGCATTTCCCCTCTTCCCGTCGCGTAAGATTGTTGCCAGTAGGGGGTAGGGTTTTGGGCATTAGGGGGTCTGCATCGCGCAAATCACTGGTACAAATAAATCCAAAAGATTAAGGTAGAGAGAACACGAATTAGATGGAGCTTTACTTAGGAAGTTATATTACATGTTTAGGTGAATATGTGATATCTGTGGAAACAACATGGAACCCCAGTGTGCAAAGCATGGCTTTGGTCTTTATTCTCTTGTTATTCTGCCTTAGGAATGGAGGGAGTTGACAAAGAGAAGGTGCAGAAGGTAATCTACGAAATGAGCAAGGGTTCAAAATATTTTGAAAATGAACAGAGGAAAGAGGCAATTACCAAACAAAAAATCGACCATCTGCGTGCACAATGTGCAAAGCTGACTGACAATGACATATCACATTTTCAGAAGGTAAAGAGTATTTTTTTTTAATGCTGGCCTTTGTCTGTCGGGTGCTACTTTGTTAATTTTAATGCCATATTTGAATCCTAATTTTTGCAGCATGCTTAATTTTCAGGTCGCCGAACATAAAATTTTGGAGCTGGAAGCTTCACGGGATCTTTCAAAGATATGGCTTCACACCGACATGGATGCCTTTTATGCTACTGTCGAGATATTGGAAAATCCATCCTTGAAGGGAAAACCATTGGCAGTGGGTAGCATGTCTATGATAGCTACTGCCAGTTATGAGGTTAGCATACTAGGATTTATGACATCTTGACATGTGTAAGGAATTTTTTAATCACTAAATAGTGTTGGTGCTATTGTATACCATTTTGTTTTGGTCCCTATTGAAATGATTACTGAAGAATCGCTGATCATGTTGTGTAAAATTAGCTTTCTTTAAGCATTGTAGACTGGATGGACCTGAGTTGGTGTTGCAATTTATTTATTTATTGAAAGCACAATCAACATCCCCTGCTATATAGTGTAGTACGTAATCAATTTACTTATTCAGGCACGGAAGTTTGGAGTTCGTGCAGCAATGCCTGGTTTTATTGGCTGTAAATTATGTCCTGAGTTGGTTTTTGTCCGTCCAAATTTTGAGAGATACACTTATTATAGTGAATTGACAAGAAAAGGTTTGTACATTATTACTGTTTATTGAATTACCATGAAATTTTTTTAGCGTATCGTAATTGTATTAATTTATCGCTTACTTTGTAGTTTTCCAAAGGTACGATCCCAACTTTGTTGCAACAAGCCTAGATGAAGCATATCTCAATATTACAAAAGTCTGCTTCGATAGAGGCATTACTGGTGAGGAGGTAATTATCATGACTTCCTGGTGAATTACTTATGACTAATGAAATAAATATGGTTTGATTTGTATTTGATGGCTTACATTATTTTTCTACAATCCAGTACTTCGACACTGAAAGTTTATTGACCATTGTATATGTTTATTTTGAAGGTTGCTACAGAACTTAGGGGTGCCATTCACCAGGAAACCGGTCTAACTTGTAGTGCTGGGGTAGCTCCAAACCGCATGATTGCTAAGGTCAGACATTGTAGCTTTTGTTTGTTTGTTTGTTTGTTTTTTTGACTGAAAGTTTGTCTTTAGAGGATCTGTGGTTGTTTGCTGTTATAGAATTATACCACTTCTCTCTGTTTGTTGCGTATGCTTTTTTTTTTTTAGTTTCATGTTTGGTTAAAATGAAATTCATAAACAAATATTTATTATTAGTACTGGCAAGGATTTCACATTGTGTAATGTGTAGCCAATAGGGGTTGCAACCTTGCGATTGCAAAGTCTGTTCACCACAAATGTCTGGAAATTTTTTTAGCTCAATAGTTCTAATCATCTTTCTCCCTTCAAGGTGATTCATGAGCAAAGTTTATAAGGTCTCTTCTCCCATATTCTTGTCTTTTTGCTAGGTTTGCTCTGATATCAACAAGCCTAATGGACAGTTCATTTTGCCGAATGACCAAGAAGCTGTGACAACATTTGTATCAACACTACCTATAAGAAAGGTACTCCTGTTTTTAGTAGTGAAGAATGGACCTTGTTTCTAGAAGTATTTTGTTGTTCTAATAGTTCTTGTTTCCTTCATATATATATATTCATTCGTACATTGTTAAACCACTAAATATTCTAACCAGTGCGCATATTCTTTCCACAGTAGTCCTTCAAAACAATAGCATTTGGGCATTCCCCATTTATGGACACCACTTTTTACTTCTTTAATTGAGATGGAGTTTTCTTTACTACTAAGTGCTTTGCCTCTTTGGACATTCATGAAAAAGGTGAAGGCTGATTTTTTATTTGAAGATCTTTGTATGCAGATAGGTGGTATAGGCAAAGTAACAGAACAAATGTTACGTCAGGTTCTTGGTATCAGTACATGCCAGGAGATGCTGCAAAAGGCTTCTTTCTTATGTGCTCTTTTTTCTGAATCCTCAGCTGGTTCGTATGTTAGTAACACTTGTTAGTTCCATTGCAAGTTTTCAGAAGCTATATTATACCTATCCCAAGCAGACACCACAATTCAATTTCTTGAACCAAACACCATTCTGTGCCTGCTTAATTTGATCCTTTGGACGTTCTCCAGATTTCTTTATTTCGGTTGGTCTTGGACTAGGCGGTACTGAAACTCCTGAGCAAAGACTAAGGAAAAGTATAAGTTGCGAGCGAACTTTCAGGGCAACAGATGATTGTTCTATGCTTTTCGAGAAATTAGGTAAACATCCTTACTAAGTTATTGTTCTAGCTATGAGGCCTGTTGATTGTAGATTTCAAACCTTGAAGCTACTTTGAAATTTCATATGCTATTGTTACTAAGTAACTAGGTTGTCTTACAGAAGAGACTTGCAATCTTATTCGAACAGAAGCATTTTTCCTATTTTAATGGTATATTTGTCAATAGGCCAAGAGCATATTATTTTGCGCAATAATTTGAGACACGTCATGATTATTCGAGAGCTTGAGTAGAAAGTAGTTGTTTGAAATTAGTCAATTATGCTGCAACAAGCTGTTTACATTTGATGAGGAAATATAATTTCTGGTGAGTGGTAGTTTTGGTTGGGATAGCAAACTATGCAAGGTGGAACTTGTTAGGCAGCTTTGACTGCATACCTGAGATCTGGTGTTCAATCTTGATAGTGCTGGGGACCACTGGTCCGGGATTGAAGGATCCCAACGCTCTATGAATATGAGCTATTTCATGTGTCAATTATTCTACATTTCTACATATGAGATACTAGAAGCCAAGTTGACTGGAAACAGGCAACTAACCAGGGTTTGGTATTTCAGAATTCTGAAATCTTAAATTTTGGATAAGGTACAGAAAAAAAAAAGAGTATTATCAGAACATGTGTGTGTACATAGGAAAAGAACTGGTGCCACTATAACTATGTGTGTTTGATATGATAAATTCCTAAAGTAACTGCAAAAATAATATACTTGTATGTAAAGCATTTAAATGCGTTAAAAGATTATGTAATGATTTTCAGGCCTTACCACATGCTATGTGCTAAATCTGTAAATGTTTCTCCATGCGTGACTCACACCCACCATATTATTATTTATTTGCAGATAGTCTCGCAGACAATTTGGCCGATGATATGCAAAAAGAATGCCTGAAGGGAAGGACACTAACACTCAAACTAAAGACTGCCGCTTTTGAGGTTTTCATCTTCCATTTGTATAACATTAACTAGTCTCCAGTAATTATAGGACTTAGATCACCAGGAGTTTTTGTTCATGGCTCATTAGATTGATCAACCATCTAAACCAGGTCAGGACAAGAGCAGTAACCACACAAAACTATATCAACTCCAAGGAAGACATCCTGATCTACGCTAGGAAATTGCTTAAGGCTGAACTGCCTCTTTCTTTGAGATTGATGGGTAAGCATGAGCTTCCATAGTATTTGATACTGTTATTGGATGATGCCCAAGTTGATCTAGCTGTGTTGACAGCGTAGGCATGTGATTATGCCATGGTGCATGCTTCTTTTTTGACCTTATCTGGAATGTAATGAACATAAAAGACATGGGGCAGGAGTTTTCTTTGAGCAGTATATGGATTAATGTTGTGCTCCTTAAAATTAGCGAATGAATTCTCCTCCTTTGATGCATTAGGTAGAGTTCCTGCCCTTTTTTTATTAAAAAAATAATATAAAAGGCACACTATGTACTGATTTTTATTTTACTATGTTCATATTTTTGATGTATCTGGATGTATTGCATTTTATATATTTTTTAATATGTTTGCTCTTGTTTCCCAATGGAGTGAGTAACAGTCATGCCAATACAATTCAACAGGGTTGCGGATGTCCCAACTTCGCGATGAGAAGGATGATTCATCTACCCAAACCCAAAAGACACTAGATAGATTTTTCCGCACGCCTGACAACTCAAATGTCATTGGAGCAAACAGTCCAAGCATCGGTAATACCACAGGAGGGGATAACTATTGCACTAATGTGATGACCAAGGTCGATTATTTAGAGCATGATTCCATGGATGATCAGGCATTGTTTTTGCATGAAAAGAACTTATTTGTTCCAGAAGGAAGGAGCTCAGACAATTATAATAATGATGCTGCATCAAGCAATCCACTTATGTGTGATGGTGTTGGTGGAAAAGAATTGGATGATGACTCCTCCAGTTCGAAGGTATGTGCTTTTGTCTAATTATTCCATTGACAAAGGGATAATATTGATTCAACACCTTTTAAGTGTTTCTTTACTGAGTGTTTCCATGCTTAATGAAAGACAGAAAGCTAACCTTTTTCCCCTTGCAGGGTACACATACTGTAAAGTTTGATGGCCAGCTCACCAGCTCTAACGCAACTACTTCATCGAGTAAACCTGATCAGCTTTTCTGGATAAATGGCTACATTTGTTCCATTTGTGGATTTGAACTACCTCCAGGTTTTGAGGAGGAGAGACAAGAACATTCAGATTTCCACTTGGCTGAAATGCTTCAGCAGGAAGAGGCAGTGGACAGCACAGGCCCCCTCTCGAAAGAGAGGTATGTATCTATTGCCACACGCTCATAGATATCCCTATGTTATTTCTTGATCTGCTTTAGTTCAGTGACGTAATAAATATTATTTAACGAGATGTAAATCCTGAAGTGTTTTACTGGGATTATTACTGTGGGTGAGTTGCCTTTTGCCATGGTTATTTGAAAATAAATTAGCTGAGATGAAGAATTTCATGGGTATGAACCTTTTTTTTCCCTGTGGAGCTGTTATCATGTAGACATCAGATGAATTTCATGGGTATGAACCTTTTGTGTATTCAGCAGGTTAGCTGAAAGGCCATGCTCTAGCACACCCACACCAAAGAAGAAGCTCAAGTCTTCAAAAGAAGGAAAACACATACCTATTGATGCTTTCTTTCACAAGGTTAACAAGAACTTGTAACATACTGTAGCTACCTATTCAGGCACTCTTTTTAATCCTACAGAGCGATTTGCCCACTTGAAAAACTGCTGTACATGTAACTTCATTCCATGTTCTTTTCAGACTAGCATGTAAATTGTAAATATATAACTCAAGAATCCTGTTAAATTAATTTCATAATTTATTCAAATGTCATACGATTCTGCACGAGATTTTTTTTCTGACATAAAGAAGCTCTACCTTATAGCCATTTCATTGATAGAAATGATAAGTTACGAAGTTGGCACGATTAAGGGGAAAATGAGAAAAGGAGGAGGAAAGGAAGAAAGAGAGAGAGGGGGGCACGGGAATGTACAAAAGTTGAAAAAAGGACTGTACATTAGCCTCGTCTGATTAGTTCAGACCAGAGGCTGATTTTCGTTTTGATTTAGTTGTTGGCCCGGCAACTCGGAAGGTCCGGAGAACCGATGATTTATTGATCTGTGTTTGATAGCCGAGATTGCTGTCTTTCGAAAATTCTGTTGTTCATCGACTTCCATAGTGTGTGAGCGGAGCGCAGGTTGCAAATCAGATGGTTGCAGGTTGTTACTCCTCCGTCACAAAATATAAGTATGGTCTCCGAGATGCTACTTTGACTATCTATATATATAAAAGTAAGATGTTTTAAATAAAAGGAGCTGTATATTATGATAATTTGTTTAATGATGAATTTAGTAATATCAATTTTATATGATTGATCTTTTTTCTATTAATAGTTAAAGTTAAAAATGTGACTTGTCACTATACTAAAAATATTTATATTTTGAGACGGAGGGAGTAACACATGTCTAAAAATTACCTGTTGAGTAGGATGATATTATCTGCAGTCTTTATCATCAGGCAAATTTCTTGACCATGTTGGCTTTAGTATACTCCATATAATTTATCCATAAAAGGCAACGAAAGGAAACATATTGAAAGCAAAATATTTGACAGGGAGAAGAGGAAATATCTTATCTGAAGTCTGAACTGGTTGCTATCAAGCACACAAGCAGCCAAATCTCTCCCAGTGAACGTGTTTACTGTGTTATCCTGGGAAAAAACAAAGAGGAGAAAAATTCTCAAAAAAAAAAAAGGTGAGGTGAACGGTAGCAATGCACAGCGGCGTCAATGGCTGCTGCCCGCTTCGGCTCCCCGCCGCCGCCGCTGTCCACGGCCGCCGGATCCCGCCGCTGCTGCCCCCACGGGGGGCGTGGCCGGGTTGTATCGCCGCGCCGGCGCTGCACAGGAAGCCCGGCCGCGGCGGCGGCGGCGCGCTCTCCAGCTGCAGGCGAGCATCGCATCATGTCCGTCTCTTCCCCCTCACTCGCAGTTCTGTTATTAATTTAGTAGTTTCTGCTAGAACTTGCTACTGCGATCCACTGATCCTCTCCTGCTGCTCGATTTTTTTTTTTTTTTGTATTCTCGTTTTTACCTTTTTTTTTTTTTTGGGCACTGGGTTCTGAATTCTGTTAATATGCGCACGGATTGCTGCGTTAGAATCATAGTGTGTGTGTGCGCGCGCGCGCGAATAATCCATATCGCCGGGTTTCTCAATTGACATCCTTAGCTGGCTAAAAATCGCCGGGTTTCTCAATTGACATCCTTAGCTGGCTAAAAATCATGGACATAGGATAATGCAATGATAAGTACTAATTTCTGTCGTGGCAATTGGTCTGTAATAACGGCTTTTCGACAAGTATTTAGCAACTAAAATTCAACCTTGAATTTTATTTTCCTGTTAGAACTGTAAAATTAAATCACACGTGGTAGTTTGCTTGGATGTAAAATCAAGTATATTTATGATACATCGCATCCTTTTTTCTGTAACTACTGTAACGTTCTATGAGCTAGAAAATATTGCTTAACCTCCTGTCATTGATAACTCTGAACATGCTATAATTAACATTGTCTAATTTTTAATGCCATTATAAATCCTTTTCAAACCTTCATATTCTCAAACTTGCATTAGTAGTGTTAGTGCACTAAAATGCTAGGTTCTTTTGCTTGTATTCCTCTAAGTGGGTTTGAACTTTGAAATTTAAGCATCAAGTGTGTGGCAGGAGAAGTTACAGGTTGCTGCACTGCCATCCAAAGCTACACTCGAGTTTGAACATGGTAATTTTGTAATTATTCAACTGTTTCATCTTATATATTGCAGTGGAGTCCAAGTCATGCCCATATTTTCTGATTTGAATGCAGCCTTGAAAGATTCTAGTATCTAAGTATGTTGCCAAAAAATACATATACTCAGGTGTCTCACTTCGAAGTGCATATATTGTTCCTGAAGATGTTCAAGCTGCAGGGTTCCAGATTGATGCTGATGAACTAGCATCTATTGTTGAAAGTCGCGACACTAAAAAGTTGACTGTGCATGGCCAATTAAATGGGATCGCAGACAAATTAGGAACATCATTAACCAATGGTATAGTTACAGACAAGGACCTCTTGAATCAAAGGCAGGACATATATGGAGTAAATAAGTTTGCTGAGACCGAGATTCGCAGCTTTTGGGAGTTTGTATGGGAAGCACTGGAAGACACAACCCTTATAATTCTTAGTGCGTGTGCTATTTTCTCTTTGGTTGTTGGCATAACCACAGAAGGATGGCCACAAGGAGCCCATGATGGCGTTGGCATTGTTGCAAGTATCCTCCTTGTTGTTTCTGTTACCGGAACAAGTAACTATCAGCAGTCCTTGCAATTCAGGGACCTTGACAAGGAGAAAAGGAAAATTCTTGTTCAAGTCACAAGGAATGGCTTGAGACAAAGAGTACTGATAGATGACCTTCTTCCTGGTGATGCTGTCCATCTTGCTGTTGGAGATCAGGTTCCTGCAGATGGCCTATTTATTTCTGGGTTTTCTGTGTTGGTCGATGAGTCTAGTCTAACTGGGGAGAGTGAACCTGTTTTTGTAAACGAAGATAACCCTTATCTTTTATCAGGGACGAAAGTGCTTGATGGGTCCTGCAAAATGCTGGTTACAGCAGTTGGGATGAGAACACAATGGGGCAAATTAATGGCTGTTCTTACTGATGGTGGGGATGATGAAACTCCACTTCAAACCAGACTTAATGGAGTTGCGAATACTATTGGGAAAATTGGTCTATTTTTTGCTGTATTGACTTTCATTGTCCTCTCACAAGGGATAATTGGCCAGAAATACCTTGACGGGCTTCTTTTGAGTTGGTCCGGAGATGATGTGCTAGAGATATTGGATCATTTTGCTGTTGCAGTTACAATTGTTGTTGTTGCTGTACCTGAGGGATTGCCATTGGCAGTCACTTTGAGCCTTGCATTTGCAATGAAGAAAATGATGAATGACAAGGCACTTGTTCGACAGTTGGCTGCCTGTGAAACCATGGGCTCTGCCACAGTCATTTGCAGTGACAAGACAGGAACACTGACAACAAACCGCATGACTGTTGTAAAAGCCTGCATCTGTGGGAATACCATACAAGTTAACAATCCACAGACTCCAAACATGTCTTCCAATTTCCCAGAAGTTGCTGTAGAAACTCTTCTGGAGTCCATATTTAACAACACCAGTGGCGAAGTGGTGACTAACCAAGATGGGAAGTATCAAATACTAGGCACCCCTACTGAGACAGCTTTGTTGGAGTTTGCACTGTTGCTAGACGGAGATTGCAAAGAAAAGCAACTGGGAAGTAAGATTGTTAAAGTGGAACCTTTTAATTCAACCAAAAAGAGGATGAGTACCATTCTTGAGCTTCCTGGTGGAGGATATCGTGCACATTGTAAAGGTGCTTCAGAAATAGTATTGGCTGCATGTGATAAGTTTATTGATGAAAGAGGTTGTATTGTCCCCCTTGATGATAAAACTTCCAGTAAGCTCAATGATATAATCAAAGCCTTTTCTAGTGAAGCGCTCAGAACACTTTGCCTTGCTTATAGGGAAATGGAAGAAGGGTTTTCTACTCAAGAGCAAATACCGTTACAAGGATACACTTGCATCGGCATTGTTGGTATTAAAGATCCTGTTCGTCCAGGTGTCAGGCAGTCTGTGGCAACTTGCCGGTCAGCTGGCATTTCAGTGAGAATGATTACAGGAGACAATATTGATACAGCAAAAGCAATTGCTCGGGAATGTGGCATACTTACCAAGGATGGCATTGCAATTGAGGGTGCTGAGTTTAGAGAGAAAAGTGCTGAAGAACTCCATGATTTGATTCCAAAAATGCAGGTTTTTTATACACCTAATAATTTTAAATTTTGGTTCTGTAAGTGTTTATCCATCTGGGGAGCTCTCATGTGATAATTCTGGTAACTGAAGGTACTAGCCCGTTCTTCCCCACTTGATAAGCATACACTTGTGAAGCACTTGCGCACCGCATTCAATGAAGTTGTTGCTGTGACTGGTGATGGCACTAATGATGCACCTGCGCTGCGTGAGGCAGATATTGGACTTGCCATGGGCATTGCAGGGACTGAGGTAATAAACTAGTAACACCACTGAGTCATGAGTACAAGCACTTAAAATCTCTTCATCTGCAAATGTTTATGTAAAAACTTCACTGGTTAACTCAACTGGACCTGAATTGGACATCGCATCTAGATATCCTTATTAACTGTATTAACTAAATTGTGAAGGATACCTATGTAGTTAAATTTCTATAAGAAATATGCTGTGAGCCTTTCTTTTGTATATTATCAGTATTCTAGTTTTCTATTTCCAATGCTATTTACCATATCACTGGTCCATTGGCTTGTATTTACTTGTAATGCTCCATTTGCTGTAAAACCCCTTTGATGGCACAAAAGTATATCTGTAAATTCTATTGTCGAAGTCCTCTGAGGTTCTCAGAGGATGTAGCTCCTACATTCTGATGATGCACAGCTCATCGATATATAAAATAGAGACAATCCATTATCTCTATAAAATAATAGAAGTCGTTGCCAACATGAGATAGCTATGAAAAGTTGCTGGATGATGGAAGTAGTGTGGAACTGTACCTATAAGGCTGTAATAGGCAATCTTGATTTAACTTGCTACATGTTGGTTTACTGCTTTTTGTTTGGCAAATAACATTTCTTTTTGGAATTTGGAAATGAAATGAAAATAATAATCTGGTTCGTGGTTTGTGCTTTTCCATTCTGATCATAAATTCAATATCCTCTATAATGTTAATTTGACCAAGCGCGCCAGTTTGTGGTACAAACTACAAACATCCCTGAGGCTTGTATAAATTGTTTTATGCAGGTGGCAAAAGAGAGTGCTGATGTTGTAATTCTGGATGACAACTTCTCCACGATTGTTACTGTTGCCAAATGGGGACGCTCTGTTTATGTGAACATCCAAAAATTTGTGCAGTTCCAGCTTACTGTTAATGTTGTTGCATTACTAGTTAACTTCACTTCTGCATGTTTCACAGGTAAATCCTCTTTATAATTCTATTAACTTAATCAGATCTCTATCTCATCATTTACATTTCTCTTCATGCCAGGGGATGCTCCACTTACAGCTGTACAACTTCTTTGGGTCAACATGATCATGGATACCCTAGGGGCGCTTGCACTAGCCACCGAACCACCTAACAATAACTTGATGAAGAAAGCACCGGTAGGAAGGAAAGGGAAGTTCATCACAAATGTGATGTGGAGGAACATTGTGGGGCAGTCGTTATACCAATTCGCTGTCATGTGGTATCTACAAACTCAAGGGAAACACTTGTTTGGGCTGGAAGGCTACCATGCTGATATTGTACTAAATACAATCATATTCAACACTTTTGTCTTCTGCCAGGTATGTTAGCACTTGCAAAATACCATTCTTTTGTACTGGTAAATTTAGGAGCAAAAATTATCTCTTTAATATGGAAGAGATATATCAGACAAGAGGATCTGTGTGTGTTTGTGTGTGTGTGTAACTTTATCCTTGCATTGCCATATCTTTTTAATATGTTCCAGTTTTCATTAATTGCATGCTTTGTAGGTGTTCAATGAAATAAGCTCAAGAGAGATGGAGGACATCAACGTTCTGAGGGGCATGGCAGGGAACTCCATTTTCCTTGGTGTCCTCACCGGCACCATCTTCTTCCAGTTCATCCTAGTCCAGTTCCTGGGCGATTTCGCTAACACCACACCTCTGACCCAGCAACAGTGGCTCATCAGCATACTCTTCGGCTTCCTTGGGATGCCCATTGCTGCTGCCATCAAGTTGATTGCTGTAGAACCTCATGAAAAAGCCGATACACGTAGAACGCCGTAAACCACACACACCAGGATAAGACATTCAATCAATTTTGTGCACCAATAATCCAAGTATACCTCCACTCTATGATCAAAGATTGGCAGCATTTTGCGAAGAAAATTTGATGCAATGGAGTTCCTGTTGGGTTTGGCCAATCTAACCAGCCACGAAACTGATGAGATAAGAGAGCCAATTAGTGGTTCTGGGAATATGTAGAAGTGATTTTTTTTGAGGTATTATTTTGTACACGCTGATCTAGTATTATGAAAATGTAAAGCCAACTGGCATAGTTGCGTAGAGTGTAAACAGATGAGATTGTACATAAATACAAGACTGACATTTGATGATAGCAACAACGATCATATTCTTAAGAGAATTTGATTCATTCTAAAACATCAGTTGCCCAGTGAAAACATTTCAAGTGTTTCACTACACATTGTTAGTACTAAAAATTTACTGGTCCATGGTACAGATCGAACTTCCTTTCGTCAGGCTAAGTATGAAAGTTGGTACTTCTCACATTTGCAAGAACAATAGTTAATTATTGACAACTAGATACTTGGAATAACTATGTTGCCGCAAATCCCTTCAATACCCCATTGCCTACCTTTTACCTACCACTTCATAGTACTTATTGATAAGGTGCACTTTGGTCCTTTACCCTCATCACTGAATTATCAATTTTGTTGATGAAGGGAGTAGGGTTTTTTTTTTCTCGGGGAGAATCAGCAATTGCCATCCCAAATCAGCCATAAGTAGGGATGGCAATCATAAAGGATTGCATGTTTATCCGTGGGTAAAAACTCTACTAGTATTAGGATTTGGTATGTCTTCAAATTTATGCTCCGGTCAAAACTTATGTCTGATGGGTAAATAGGTATGGTCTCCACTTCATCTATTTTCTCATCAAACATAACCAATATGTGGATCTTACTACTCACAAATATTTCAATATACACTTATCAAAATCTAATTTCTATGGTGTACTACGATATAGTCATTTTACATTAAACTCATGTTTAACTTGGTAAAACAATATTTTAGTTGTTAGTTAATTCATGGATGAATTTATTAACTAGATGATTTTTCTATTGTTTCTACCATATACATATGATTGAGGAGTAAACCGCATACCCGCATGTATATGATGCCTGTGGGTAATGGGTATGGGCAAGGTTTTATGCCCATCATGGTAATGGGCCGTGGGCAAAAAAATTATCTCGTGGGCATTGGTTTGGGTGTGCATCTCCCGTACCTGCCATGTCTAATTGACATTCCTAGCCAAAAGGCCATGATAACGCAATATCTAGCGTTATAAACAACAAACAGAATATAGCACCAATGTGTTTTGTCTGGATAAATTCCTTCCGTGCCACTAAAAATTTACTTGATCCCTTATTTACCCCTCATTATCTCCAATGACACGTGGATAAGAAATTGGGGCATCTTTGTTTGCCCTATGGCTTATAAGCCAATGCCAAATTATGAATTGTAAGACTTGATTTTAAAGTTGATGTTTTTTCAATATAATATTTTTTTCAGTTTTGGCTTTTAAGTTGCTAAAGATACATACACAAAAGTTTTACTCACAATACATTTTTTGATCGTTAATAAGCCGTTACGGCTTATAATCAGCCGTAAGTACCAATTGGGACCCAAATGTTTCCGGTGGTAACTAAGAGATTGCCTTTTGTTTTTTTTAATTTGGACGTGACGGTCTGACTTGGGCCATAGGATGTGGTCTTTCTTCTTAAATTTACTTAATAAAAATGTGAATTGTGGATTTTGTATACACCAGACAATATCATTTAGAGGTTGCATATTTGATGGATTGATTTATTTTCAGGGTGACATGGCTCATTAGCCCCTTTCTATTTAAAGTAATATTTAATTGCATAATAGTTGTACTTTCCATAATCTTTATAATGAAGATAATACTTAATTACCTCTAGTGACTGTGGATGGCATTACCTCTTGGATAAAATTGATGGCTCGTATTAAAGCGGACTACTAATTTTCCATTTATATTGATATATGCATTTGTTATTTAGGATGACTCTTATGTACTCCCAGATGTACATACTCCCTCTTCCATATTGGATCTAATAGGATCCAATTAGGACCTGCTTAGCCGGTGGGAAATTTTTTTTGAAATTCCTAATTTTCAGCCGAACAGGGAATAAACCAAGTAAAAAAAAAGGAGAATAGCTACTTTAGTCCCTAAAGTTTCTCTATAGGATCAGTTTATTCCCTAACTTTTTAAATGGTCCAAAGAAATCTTAACCTTTGTCATAAGGCCTAGAATAGTCCTTGGGTCCACTAAAATCATCATATGAATATGCCATGTCATCATTCATGCAAATCTATGATGAATTGTCCAATATACCCTTACGTATATCATAGAAAAATAAATATAAGGTGAATTAGACATAACCATAGGAAAAAAAATACTTCTTTTTTCACCCTTTTGAGGTATATTTTTGCTCTTACATGTACCATATATTTTTTTTAACTTTTTTCTTTTGTTTTTTATTTTCCTATGCGTAAGGGTGAATTGGACAAATCATATAGATTTTGCATAGAAATGTGACATGGCATGTCCACGTGGCGATTTTGGTGGGACCAAGAACTATATTAGCCCACATGACAAATTTAAAGGACTTGTTTGGACAATATAAAAGATTAAGGACTAAAATAACCCAGGAGCAAAACTTTATGAACCATATTAGCTATTCTCCCAAAAAAAAATTAAGTTGAAAAATATCCATGCATGTCGGCATGGAATTGGTTGCACCCCTGTATGTCCGAATTTGAAATGTAGTATTTGTGCACCTCCCTGTAGCATGGAAATTCATGACTTATATACTGTTTTATTTTATGTTTTATTTTAGATTAGGTATATACTTATTTTTTAGGAACCAGTATATACTATATCTCTGTTTGGAAGAGTATATACTTTTTATTTGATGATCCAGTATATACTAAAAGCTGGTTTGAGAAGTATATGCTACTTAATTTAAGACTATTAGTATATACCGTTATCTTTAGAGTCTATTAGTATCTGCCACTTGTTCTAGATTTATAGTATATACTACTTTTCTAAATTTGTAGTATAGTATATACTGATTTTCTTTTTGTTTAATGAGCATATACTGTTCTATCTTGAGAAATGCCCAGGGGTCTTCCGGCTAGCTCCATAAGGTGGTGGGCTAGACGACCTGGGTTCAAAGCCTCACCCCTCCTAATTATTTGATATTAGGTCCTTTCCTAATATTCTAGTTTTATATACTGTTATATCTTTTTTTCAGTATGTAAAGAGTCAGTATATATTGCATTCCTCATTGAAGATCTCTTTGTTTGGTCAGTATGTAGCTCTCTGCTTTTGGTCTTTTGCGGCTTCAGATACGTGGAGTAATTTGTTTGAATTTCCTCATTCCAAATGGCGACCGTTCTACAAGAAAATATTAAAATATTATATCAGCATCCGTAAGAAAATATTTGACGCATCAATACATGTAATACGACATAGAAAGACATAGAAAGCCTTAATCTCTGCATCCTCGCTGACATATCAGTTAGTAGGGATCAGAGAGGCAGAGACTAGTAGTATATACCATGCTGACATATCAGTTAGTAGGGATCAGAGAGGCAGAGACTAGTAGTATATACCAGTGTTTCTAGAGAACAAGTATAAATCACTTGTTCTAGATTCATAGTATATACCACTTATCTAAATTTGTAGTGTATACTGAATTTTTTGTTGAAGGAGTATATACTGTTCCTTTTTTTTGGGGAATACATACTATTCTTTTCTCTCTTTTTTTTCAGTATGTTACTACTTTTTCGGTATAAAAAAGCCAGTATGTGCTGCTATATTGAAAAAGTCCAGCATATCTATGGAAAATTCAGTATATACTTCTGTGTAACAAAGTTCAGTATATACTTGACCATAGAAAAATTCAGCATATAGCACTCCATAGAAAATAAAAATCAGCATATACCCCTCTATTGAAAAGTTCAGTATATTTATAGAAAATGCAATATATACTAGTCTAACAAAGTGATCAGTACATACCCCTCCAAAGAAAAATACAGTATTTACTACTCCATATAAATGCAGTATGTACAGAGCATGCCGCCATCCAGCATATTGTTCTAGCACGCCGCCATCCAGCACATTGTGACGAGATCGATATGGTCGCAGCAGTTGGCATCGATCGTTGCCGCGGCCCCTGCGTTTGTTGATGCATGTGAAATCAAATAAAATATGATGCATCAATTATGATTGACACAATCACCTGACCGGAATTACTGCTGCACGGGCAGCACGGCCTGTATGCCAGCCGATGGATCGATGCCGTCGTGTCCTGGACGCTGGCCGGGAAGCGGCGCGATGGATGACGATGGCGCCGGAAGCGCCTGTTTCTACCAGACAAATCCTGGTAGTCTCGTTGGATGATGATCATCAGTTGGAGGGGGCTCGCCGTTGCCGATGCTGTAAAAGCTAGTGGTGTGGGTGTCTCCAGCGCCGCTTGTTGCCATGGTTGTATGATTTCAGGGAGCCGATGGATTGTGTCGTCATCGCCTCCGGCTTGCCGATGGGCTGCACTGTGGACACCAATCTAGTCGTCATGACTCATGACGTGGCCGTGGACTGGTTGTCGATCGAATCGTCGCCGTCGATGCCGAGTTGCCGACGGATCACGCTGCCGAAAATCCTCGATGGATCTAGAAGAAAAGGAGAAAACAGGATGGACATACCAGAATCAATCACCTGGGAATTGATCAAGCCACCCGCAGGTGGACGAACTGCATTGCCGCCGAGGCCGTATGATTCGATGGATCACGTCGGCGTCAGCGCGTCGCCTCCAAATTGACCGATCTGTTATTTGCAGTCCGGTTTAGCAGTAAGTCGGAAAGAGATATTTATGCTAGCATCCTGGTATGGTTACGGTTAATGCGGGATACAAGTATTACGAAGATTTTTTTTCGTCCGCAAAAACTTTAATGGGTCCGTACGTGGATCCGTTAGCAGGTTCGATCGGTGGTGTCTGCTGATGGACGGTGGATGAGAGCAGGAGTACGTACACCTGGGTGTATAGAATTATTTTCCTTTGTTATTTTTCAAATAATGATATATACAATTTATTTTTAGTACTCCCTTCTTTCAAATTACTCGTCATTCTAGCATTCAAATTACTGGACATCTGGAAGCTAAGATTGCTTGAGCAAATGGATGGAAGCATTCCTACGGCATGAGTCAATTATAATTACTACTAGGTAAACTCTGTTGTATATTACCTTAGTCCTAAAATTCAGCATTTTTTTGCCTATGAATCTAGAAACACAGTTATCCAGTTATCCAGATTCATAACTAAAAATGCTTATATTCTAGTACGGAGCAAGTAACTCTGAAGTTACTGTCGTAAAAGTGACGTTTGGGACCTTGGGTATATAACCCGACACAATGGATAAATGAAATCAAGAAGTAACAAACACTATCCCTGTCTCGTACTCCTTGGTAGAACTTAGAATTTGATAAATTTTGTTACAGAATATGAAAACTTTGTGGTTTTAGCCGTTGGGCATCACGCGAAATGACTTTTGGAGGAAAACACTATGTAACTATGGTTGTTTGCCAACAGACATCACGTCTATTATTTTAGTATTTACATGTTGATGACATGTGAGAGAGCCTACGTTTTACATGGCGTGACCAAAATGCCCCTGCATTGAAACAACATATTGCTATACCTACAAGGCTACAACTAGTACACCAACGATTGAACACACTGCAAAGTGAACATAGCTCAACTGATTAGGTTCCTTATGGTGAAACAAGCCCACCTAGGTTCAAGACCTAGGCTTAACATGGGTGCTCGTATTTATATCTATTTATTCTTTTGGTGATAGGCATCGTGTCCATCGACGTTGAGACATCATGATGACTTCATCAATCTCAAGATATGCCGACCCAATCCTTCGAAGATGTTCATAGAGGTAGCGCGTGCGATGTGCCTATGTGCGTTCATAGAGATGAGTGTTCTAAAAAACACATTAAACTTTAATCGCAATCATGGCACTTTGAAACTTACAAAATCATGATGTCCTATAGCAAAATGTGCCTTAGAACTGTTTTGCGACAGCCACAGATAATGAACGATTGTGCAAGTTGAGGGCCACAGATCTTCTGAGGTGAAAAGTTCAAAAAACGGACTAAGTTTTAATAGCATATTATTTCGTCCTGCCGATGTCAATATACAGTGGAAACATAAGTACTACTACTGTACAAGGATATCGCCAGTGCTTCGCCTACATCGCGCTGCATATTGTGGCTCCAAAGGCAAACTGATTTACTAAGTGAAATAAGACAGTAACTGTTCAAATAAACAGAGGAATTCCACTCAAATAGACATTTCCAGGCTAGCTGTATGACATATTACTTACCAAGTTAGTAACTTCCTAAAGCAACAGCCAACACATCTTGATCTTACAGTAGTATGTACATGATCAGACGTCAGAGAGAATTGATCTTATCAAAGCTTTGGCACTCTCCAGTTGCTGCCTCGATTCCTCGCTGTCAACTAGATCGTCCATGACATGCTTGTCAATCTCAAAGAAGTTCTCACGAAGTGAATCATGAGCAAGATGCAGCTTCTCCGATGCCGAGGAGTCACTCCCAAGCAACCTGACACAGACAAAGCGTGTCAAGCCCAAGACAACACCGTACTCCGCTCTCTGCAGCGCCAACTTGAGGGTGGACAGGAAGACGCCAGCCACAGAATCAAGAATTTTCGGGCTCCCTTTCTTCAGAAGAATTACCATCATTTCTGCTAGTTTTCTGGATGACTGTGAGTCCTCACTGGCCTGCTCGCTTTGATCATCATCTCTAGGTTTTTCATCATCAAGCAGCTCATTCTTGGCCAATGCAACCACCCATAGTGGCAAGCAAGACCCACCAAAGTCACACATGTTACCCTCAGCCTGTGGCCCAATCAACCAGCGGCATCCAAGACCCATTATGACAACTGGTAGCCACTGCTTTACGACAGAAACTAAACTGAGAGCAAATTTGGAGCCTGCAGCAGACTCAACAGAGGGTACAAGATCAAGAAGATTATTGGCAAGAAAGAAGGCTTCCTCTGGGGGACTCTGTGACTCAATTGAGTTTGCTAGGACCAAATGAAGCAGCTTGGCTGCATATGTGAAGGAACTCCGTATAAGCATCAATATGTCTTTCAGATCATTCCCTTTGAAAGATGAGCTCTGCTCCTGATGCATTTTTATGGCTGATGATGCATATTTTGTGAAGGACAATGCAAAATTGAGACATCCTACTTTATTATCACTGATCAACTTGATGGTTATTGTGTCAACGATAAACTTGAGAATTGAAGTGCCAAGCATGTATACATTAACTGTCCCTCTCAATGCATTCCCTGCACAAGATACATAACCCACTCATTTACAAGGTATATCATGTGATAATGCCAGATAGATAACATACTGATTTTGGTGACTACAAGTTGAAAGTTTTAAAGTTAATTACATAACTACTTTCTCTAGCATGCTTTCGAAAATCATATCAATATTCCGTTAATAAATAAAGTTTCAGATCAAAGAGGTTTTCTGCATCAAAAGTTGTAAATATCTGTGCAGGTATACCTTCAGGAACTCCATGATGGTGTTTCTGCCGTGCAGATTTCTTATTCTGCTTCAACTTCAATGAGTTTGTGGAACCAGTAACAGATTCATTTAGGAGTTTGTCAAAACAATTCAGCAGATGGTCCAGTGAGTGATTGATGGTTGTTGACTGAAACAAGAGATCAAACTTATGAGAATGGCAACATGTTAATTGTTAAATGAAAAAAAAATGTTGAACACATTCACAATAATCTACATAACCGTAGCAAAAATAGCTTAAGTGCAACCAACAAATATCGGTTCCAGTTACCATCAATGTTTGACCAGATGGCTAGTGTTTGAGTTCATCAACATTTCTGTGACAACTATACAGTGAGGTGGAACTGACTGTTTTATCAACATTTTTGTGCCAATTATCAAAGAAAGTGGGCATGGTGGAATCGTGGGGGTTAACTCACCTCAGAGGTGCTGATATCAGTTTGGTCAATATCCTGAAGAGCGCTGTGTGTAGCCAAACTCAAATAAGCCAAAAGAGGTGTGGCATTTAAAGAGTCAAACTGCAGGCACTGCTCAATGTACACTTGACAAATGACCTTCAGAGATGAAAATGCGACGTCTGAATAAGAAGATTGTAGAAAGGCAACTCTCTTTTCTTCATCTTTCAGTATGTCATTAATCTGCCATGATGCACCTGCAACAATATCAAAGTCTTCACTGGATGACCCGTTTCCAATATCATGACCAGACTTTGCTGGTGTTTTCTTAAGTGATTTTCCTTTCTTCCTCTTTGAAGTAGCAACGGGACAGATAGGAGGTTCTATATCATAAATCTCAGCAAAACAAGACACTTTAGATTGCAGAATATTTGTCAGTGCTTCAAACATTTCGTCAGACCAGCCACTTGAAAAAACCAACTTATGTGCTGCTAGCACTGCTTCTTGGCAACCTTGTTGCGTGGAAACCCCTGCAGCGTTCATGACTACATTCATGCATTCATCGTGCAAAGCAGATAGATCATCAGGTGATACAACTGGAGCCATACTGAGTAGAGCAGACCGGGCTCCCACAGAAATTTCTGTTTTAAAGAGTAGCTTCAACTTTGCATTTGCAAAGAATTCTCTTAAGGAAGCTAAACTAGAGCGCTCCTCAGATAAGCTTTTAATTAGATTGGCTGAAGCAATAACAAGACCATCAGTCTGTTCAGAGTTCATTCCTGTTGGTGCCAGTGCCAGAGTAATAGAGACTTTGATCAGTTCAACAAGGGATCTTGGGGGAGACCCTTCAGATAAAGCAAATTCACAAAACCTTGCTCCAGCTGTGGGTGACCTCTTTATAAGTGCAATGCAGCGAGCACACGCTTCTTTCAGTGGCAATTTTGTTGGAAAATATGAAGGGATGAGAAGCTTTGTGATTTTCTGTGCGACACGGGGGTGGTCATTTGAGAGTGAAGACAGCAAAGTACCCAATCCAACAACCTGAAACAAAAGGCATACATCTAGTTTGTTTGTTCAAAGTCTCAAACTGAAGAAAATAAAGATCCAAAGGTTACTTAAGTTACAGAATCAATTATCACATGCATATGTAATGAAGAAGTACGTAATGTACCTTATTAAACTGGAAAGATCGAAGATCACGTATAGCCAAAAGAAGATCAACTGCAGAAGATCTGACCGATAAAGCAGGATCAGAGACCATGTCACTTAATCTTGGAAGTAGAACTTTCAGTATTTCATGACTTTGCGGATTGTCAAGTAAGTATATCAGACCATTTATGGTTGACACCCGAACCTCAGTGCAAGAATCTTTGGATATGTCATCAACAATTTTACTTAAAAATTTTGAAATAGTTAGGGAAGGAATAACTTCCCAAAACTGGTTAAGAATACGACAGAGTCCTTCAATCGCAACCGTTCGTATTTCTGGACAATCGTCCATGAGAAGTTTGTCTAGCAAGAAGTATTGCTTCTCTAGTAGAGGATCATTGACATCCTTTGTCACATCCGGGTCTTCAAGGGGGAACAAATCTAATAGAAGGTGCAAAGAATTATGGCGTACATTGGAGTTTGCAACCTGCCAAACAGTAATGACTTCAGATAAAAACGGAAACGTTTAAAGCATAAACTGTTCTATATATTTCTTATTTGTTGATGCATACATGTCATAACTTCAGGTTGTGAAACCAAAAAGTAAAACAAACTATTGAGCATGCTTTTCTAAGGAAGAGCATTCAAATCAAAGCAACACATAAATCATAGTTTTCATTCACAAATCACAAAGAATAAAATTGGACAGCATTCAGAAAAGATTTTGAGCTGTAACATATTGACATTATGTACATGATATTAATATCCATCGATCTAATGTTTGCGCGAATCAATTATTTTATCAACATTTGGATGGGGAAAGAACATAGAACCACAATACTGAGCAATTTCATTTGTACAGACACTTAATAACTGACTCTACTATGAGTTGTGACCACGTGGAAGTTCAACCAAAAGAAAGTGATAAAACAATAATATCATATGTTGTTTAGCACTCATGTTGATAATTGGACAATCTACTTCTTTTTGTAAGCCATAAATTTGTCAAACACAAAGACCAAATAGGGAAAGAAAAGTTGGAAACAATAAACTAGCGCAAGTAAATCATAGTCCACAGCGTTGATGTCTAGAGAATAAGGGGGAGTAGTTAGTGTTTTAGTACTGAATGTTGAAGAGACAGGAAAGAAAGACAGGAAAGAAAGACAGGAAAGAAAGAGAATCAGCGATAAATGTTACATGCATGCTTTATCTCTATCTCTATCTCTACTACTTAAAAAATAAGAGATGTTTCCTTCGTCCGTCAAAACAAAAAAAATAGCAAAAAAAATATAAAAAAAGTCCGACTCCTACCGATTCCCTCTCAGAAAAGGAAATCGTCCGTCAAAAAAAAAGCGAAAAAGATAAAAAAAAGTCCGACTCCTACCGATTCTTTCTCAGGAAGGGGAAAAAAATCCTGACTCTAGATTCACCCTTAAAAACAAAAAATAAAATTGATGTACCGGATTGAAAATCTGTTTCCAAAAACGGAACCTACCGATTGAGAGCATTCCATTTTTATATGATTTTAATTTTTGGGTCTGTACTTTTGCATTTGAGTCCATGTAATTTTTATATTTACATTTGAGTCCCTACAATCTTGAAATAAGATACTTGAGATCGTTTTTGATTGAAAAATAATAAAAGGGAAAGAACAAAGGCAGAAAGGTGCATAAAAATAAAAAAAGAAAAACCACACAATAAAATAAAATAAAGAAAAAACAAAGAAAAACAACAACAACAACAACAAAAGTCTGTTTATCCTAAGTGGCGAAAAAAAACCGTAGATCCGATTCCTATAGAAGGCAAAATAAAAGTGGTGAAAAAATGCTAGATCTGATTCCTTTAAAAACTGAAAAAAAAAAGTCTGATTCCTGTAAAGGCGAAAAAAAATCCGAAAAAACATCTAAAAAAAGTTCGTCCGATTCTATAAGAAGAAAAAATGGTTCGTAAAAAATAAAAAATGCGCGCGAGAAAAAATGGAAAGGGCAAAACTAATTCCGATTTCTAATCAGTATATATCTCTTCGCTATGTCTAATCTAATCTAACTATTTAAAAAGAGAAAATGCACGACAAAATAAAAACGGTTCAAATAAACATGTGAGAAAAGTCAGAAAAAAGCGCAAAAAAAACACACTAAAAAGGTTTTGCATCTTCCATAAAAAATAAAAAAACACGCGAGAAAAATTATTTCCATCGTCGGTAAAAAAATTTTAAAAAAAACATGCGAGGAAAAAAAATGTTAGAAAAAACGCGCCATTTCTAAAAAATGGTTTGAAAAAACCGCGCAAGATAAAAATATCGTCTACTAAAAAACAAATCACTCTGAAAAATCTGTCAGAAAAAACACTAAATTGATGGACGCTTGAGCCGGATAGGATCCATCGATTTTTTGTCATCTACTACACGGTTTTTATTTCGTCATATATTCTCCTGTATTGGAAAAAAACAAAAAAGAACATTCGAAAAAAACAAGCAAAAAAAGCGTGAGAAAATAATTGTTAGAAAAAAAAACATGCAAAAAACACACGAGAAAAGAAAAGAAAAAAGGGAGAAAAATACGGTTTTCGTTGTAAGTAAAAAAAGCAAAAAGAACATGCTAGGAAAAACTGTTAGAAAGAAATGCACCTTTCTGAAAAATGGTTTGAAAAAATCGCGCAAGAAAAAAAACATTGTTTATAAAAAACAAGTCGCTCATTAAAATACAAACATTGTCATTGACATAATTATGCATGAAAAACATATATTATCATTAGAATTTTTTCACCCGTTGCAACGCACGGGCATTTTTGCTAGTATATTTCAAAAAGAAAAAAAGGCTTGCAGGAAGCCAGGAGGTATATGCCTTACTTTTGAAACAGAGGGAGGTATTTGCTGAACCATTTAAATAGTCTACCTATTACCAGATCATGTTAATGTGTTATTGAGCTTGTCGTACTGTTTGACCAATGTAACAAAGAATAATCCTAGTCAAGCAGCACCATGATTGATATGTCTATGTAATGCTAGAAGACCAATACTCCACTCTTCGCTCTTCTACCATTCATCATAACTACTAATTTTAATTTGGCTGTAACTTCATGTACACAAGTAGTGCATAACAATTTTATTCTGTGATGCTCACCTTCGACCCATCCATAATGAATATCGTAAGCACATCATACTAGTTACTCCCTCCATTCCAAATTTATCTACATATAGTTTTTTTGAGGTTATTCCTAAATGATCTACATATTTGTGTTCATTCATTAAGTCTATTCGTTATTTGTGCATCGGAGTAAATGGACATTGATGCATGCATCCATGCACACAAGTATTTATAACCCACATGCAATATTTTGATTTGCTATTGGCTAGGAAATAGTGGGAATGATACATGCATTGAGTTTGTTGCTAGAGTAAATATAGTATGAGAGAGTTATTAGCTTTTCTTGGTCTTGGTGTACCTATAAAATATGTAGATCAATTTGGAATGGAGAGAGTAATACATTAGCACAGGAGCAGAAAAAGATACTAGACAGTTTCATACCTGCAAAGACCGGAACAGCACGGGCTCGGCAAGCTGAAAGATTAATTTTTCAACTCCAGCCACCATTCTCTGCTCGACGAACGCAGACAGAAGCTTCCTAGCCGCTTTGGCAAGCTCCTTGCTCCTGGCGTGCACGGCCCCCTCCAGCATCCCCTGCAGGAACGCCTCCCCGACCTCCCCCCTGACCCAACCCCCGTCCTTCCACGCCCTGAACACCACCTCCCCGTAGGCCACCAGCGCCGCCCGCTTCACCCCCGGCATCCCCACCTGCGCTCTGATGAGCTCCAGGCCTTCCCTGGCGAGGCCCTCGCTGACGCCGAGCACGAGGGACAGGAGCTTCCTGCCTTCCTCGGCCTTGAGGAAGAGCGGCGACACGAAGCAGCGCAGCAGGAGCATCTTGAAGTCGGAGATGCTGTCGTCGTCGTCGTAGTCGAGCAGCGCCAGCGCGTCGCGGAGCGCGAGGAGGCGGCGGAGCACCGGCCTCGCGGTGGCGGAGCCGCACGAGAGCGCCTCGGCGAAGAGGTACGGCAGGGTCTGTGCGACGACCGCCTCCCGCCCCGGCGCGGCGGCCCTCCAGGCGAGCTCGAAGCACGCGACGGCGAGCGCGGCCAGGGGCGGGTCGTCGGTGGCGAGCTGCGCGAGGCGGTCGTGGAGGCGGGCGAGCGGCGGGAGGAGGTCGCCCCAGCGCGGCGGGTGGGACGGGTGGGTGAGGAGGAGGTGGAGGAGCACCGCGGCGGCGCGCGGGGGGTACCCGGGGGCGCCGCCGTCGGAGAGGGGCGGCGCCAGGGCGCCCGGGAGGGAGAGGAGGACGGGGTGGGAGTCGGGGAGGGAGTGGACGAGGTGCTTGAGGTGGGGAGGGTCCCTGAGCGGCGCGTCTGCGGCGGCGGGGAAGAGGGTGGCGGCGAGGGCGAGGAGGTCGGCGGCGGAGGAGGGGACGGCCTCGCCGTCCACCTCGGCGGCGGTGCGGCGGCGGCGGCGCGCGGGCGGCATTGCGGCGGTGAGGGCGAGGTGAGGTTTCGAAATGAAGAGCGCGATTTGGGGGGAAGGAGGAGACGTCGAATCGAAGAAGAGAGAGACGGGTTGGGCTTTGGGCTTGGGTGGGCTTCTCTTGTTGGGAGATATGGGCTCGGATGTGGATTTATTTCCACAAGCCCACAACCACCACCCACGAGGGACCTGCACTGCCTTCCTAATCTCTACTTCTCTATCTCTATCTCTGTCTTTACTCTCTACTACTTAAAAAAATAAGAGATGTTTCCTTCGTCCGTCAAAACAAAAATAATACTGAAAAAAATAAAATAAAAAAGTCTGATACCTATATCCGATTCCCTTTTAGAAAAGAAAAAAAAAGTCCGACTTCCCTTTCAGAAAAGAAAAAAAAGTCCGACTCTACATTGGTGAAAAAAATTGATGTGCCGAATTGAAGATCTGTTTGCAAAAACAGAACCTACGGGTTGAGAGCATTCCATTTTTATATGATTTTAATTTTTGGGTTTGTACTTTTGCATTTGAGTCCATGTAATTTTTATATTTACATTTGAGTCCCTATAATCTTGCAATAGGTTCTTGAGGTCGTTTTTGTTACAAAAATAATAAAAGAGAGAACAAAGGCAGAAAGGTGCATAAAAAGAAAAGGAAAAGCCGCACAAAAAATAAAATAAAGAAAAACAACAACAACAAAAGTCAAAACGAGAGATGCTTCCTTCGTCCGTCAAAACAAAAATAATAGCGAAAAAAAATAAAATAAAAAAGTCCGACACCTATATCCGATTCCCTTTCAGAAAAGAAAAAAACTCCGACTTCCCTTTCAGAAAAGAAAAAAAAGTCCGACTCTACATTGGTGAAAAAAATTGATGTGCCGAATTGAAGATTGTTTGCAAAAACGGAACCTACGGGTCGAGAGCATTCCATTTTTATATGAATTTAGTTTTTGGGTTTGTACTTTTGCATTTGAGTCCTTGTAATTTTTATATTTATATTTGAGTCCCTATAATCTTGCAATAAGGTACTTGAGGTCGTTTTTGTTAAAAAAATAATAAAAGAGAGAGATCAAAGGCAGAAAGGTGCATAAAAAGAAAAAGAAAAGCCGCACAAAAAATAAAATAAAGGAAAACAACAACAACAAAAGTCTTTTTCTCCTAAGTGGTGAGAAAAACTATAGATCCGAATCGAAAAAAAAATACTACTTAAAAAACCGCCGCCGCCATTGATTACGCTGCGCCCAATGGGCCGCGGAAGTGCATCAGACCGTCCCCACATATGTGGGCCACGCTCAGCTGCCCGGCTTGCGGGCTGTCGATTTGACTTAGGTCGCCGCAGATGGGCCAGCCCAAGTTTGGGCCGGCTAGTAAGACCTGGGCCGAAAGCAAATTTGATCAAACAATGTGGCTCAGATTTTTAAAATCAAAGTCCATCAGATAAGCTCCTAAGTAGGCTCGAAAAATAAATCTAAAACTAAATCATAAATTATACGCTAATTCATCAAATTAGACTCGGTTCTACCTATTTGTTAATATATCAAATTAGACTTGATTTTTACCTATTTGAGGTTTTCAAGGTGTCACACTATCAAACGGTGTTTTTCCCGTTGCAACGCACGGGCACTATTGCTAGTAAAGGAAAAAGTCCATCTCGGCCTCCCTCACTTGTAGGCAAAAACCGGGTATATCGTCCCTCTCAACTATGAAAGTTAGTTCAAATGAATTCTCTTAGTAGTTTAGATAGTGGTTTCAATTAATATATGGCGCCTACTTGGAGGGTCGCAGCGGGGAGACGAAAGTTGGAAGGGAAAGATGCTGCTTGAATGCTTTGACGTTGCAGGTGTGGAGTCACCGAGAAGAGAGGAAGAAGAGAGAGATGAGAATGACATTTGGATCTTGCAGTTTTTTTTCTTTTATTTCTTTTGTTGATACTAATGCCACGTAGAATGAAACCACCGTTAGAACTGCTAAGGGAGGCAAATTGAATAGTTGAGGGAGGTGTTGTACCTGATTTTTCGGTTGAGAAACTAAAATCAATATTAGGCTATGAGGGACAAGAAAACAGAAAATGAATGAAAGAAAGGCACAGTATATCTCCTTTCCCTTTAAAAGTCGTTGTTTATCTCGGTGAATCTCCAATTTAGGGAGCCCTCTGTTGTCGACTTCGATTTCCACTGCTATAGTGCTCTTTTTTAATTGGACTTTTATTAGATGTTTCTAGTACATACGTGTTGGGCTTGCGGGAGACATGTATATGTCTAGCAGTGCTTTTTTCACCCTTGTGTGCTAGCTTATCTTCTATGCAGATTGTAACATATTATTTCCTCTTAGCGCAAGTTTTTTCTTTGCATGCAAATATGGTAAGTTTGAAATTGAACTTTTTATACAAAGTTGGAAGTTTCCAATAAGAAATATTTATGAATATCAACATAAAATTTTAACTAAATCTAAAATAATCTTAATGTCCGAAAAACTTTTTGTTATAAAGTTTCTAAAACTTTGTACACACATTTTAATAGAAAGAGTTGAGTAGGAGGATGCATGCATTAGGAGGGGCAGGTGGGATTTAGGGACTTGAGCAGAGTTGATTTGTACACATGAGGACATAAATCATTTCAACAAACAGATGTGATGAGTTTTCTTTGTACTTGATATGTATATATAGGTGATTTGTGTATGTGAAAAAAAATAGCATGTAGAAATGGGTAGTTATTTGGATTTTTAAAAAGGTTTGTATGTAGATGGATGTAATTAGAAAGCCAGATTTAGAGAATGTTTACAGCAGAATTTCGCATCAGACTCAGAGAAGAAGAAACAAATCGAAGCGGATTTGGTGCGAGATTGAGTCAGTTTGGAAACAGATTGTGCATCGGCTGGAGAGCGTATCGGCTGAAACAGAATTGTAAACGTTTAAAGCCGATATGGAAGTAGCATATACAACTCAACCTGGGCTCGGTTTGGGCCTCGATTGAGATAACCGTCATTGCGGTTTAGAAATTGAGCTCATTTAAGTCAATTATATCTATTGATTAGGATATTTAATGCTGGTTTGAATTAGAGATTTGGTAAGAGTCCGTCATGTGGATTTGTTTGTTTTTATCTTTAGGAAAGTTTAAGTCGTGTCCATTATGGACTAAATTTTGTACTCCGGGTATAAATATAAACCCTGGATCATTTTAATAAGAGAGGACAATCTAATCAATACAACTTTTGGTGCATCGTCACCTTTTTCCTTTTACTTTTCGACGAGTTCTTGCTTCAAATTGGGACATTGGTTGCGATCTCTCAACAAGAGGTAACTTATTTCGATGGCTTGCACTATCGGGGGCTATTATGTTATTTTAGATGTATTAGTCTTGTCATTATGGTCATTGTTATCATATATGTTAGTTAATCTAGTTTAGCACCTTGATTTAGTCGTATCGGTTGATTCTCACTTTAGGGTTTAAGTTGGTATCGGCTAAATCACCTTGCCAAATTAGATTAGCTAAGGTATCTACCATCCTGAAAAGTGGTTAATTATTTGATTGTTTAGATTTTAGGTTTCTTTACACACTTTGTGTTGCATCAACCCTAGTCCTTTCTAGAACCCTAAAAACTAACCTGGAATCAATCATAACTAAGGATAGTACTAGGGTTTTAGCCGATCTTACCTAATATACATGGTAGTGCATGTTTCATGATATATTTTGTGTATATTTGCCACTTATCTAGATAGATCACTTTTTATAAGTATATGAAGCTTTAATCAATCTCGGCATAATCATTAAATCTGGTGAATGAATGTGTTATTTGATATATTTCTATAGATATATTGATTTATCTATATAAGTTTGTACTAGAGTAATAGCTAGTACTTTAGCTATATTTACTCTAAATACTAGATTATCGGCTATTTTTATAACATTGTCTAAAAGGAGATTTATAAAAACTAAGAAGGCGGTAGTGCGACCGATAGGACATATTTAGGGTTTTGCTTTACTTATTCAATCCACTGCCGATATGGCCTAACTATATCGGCTAAGATCTCTATCGATACGTCATCGGCTCATCGGGCGATCGTCTATCAATCATTTAACTTTGTTTATTGTTTTTTCTTGCTGATTACAAGATCAAACCAGTTGGCACGCTCTTAGCACTCAACGCAAGCCGTGGACATGTACTAGAGTTAAGAAAATCTCTCATGCCACTGTGTTTTCTATCAGCAGAGAACCGCTAGCCAAATAGGGAACTAATAAGGATACAGAGGTTCTTTATTCAAAACAACAGTACGGAGTAATAGACGAGCAATTGTAGTACTAGTTATCACGGAGTACTCCTTTAGCTCTAAGATATAGATCGGATTTTTTTTCTAAATATAATAATCAAGTACTTGTAAACAAAACCTTTATCAATAAACTATCCATACTACCCTGCTGTCTTTTATCTTTGTTATAGTCTGAGCTTGTATTTTATATATGATTTGTACAATATTACTACTTACTACTTCTTTCATTCTAAAATATAGCAACTTTTAGAGTTCAAAAATTATTTCAAATATAACATAGTACCTGTAAGTATAACTTTTACCAATAAACTATCCATACTACCCCTACTATCTCTTATCTTTATTATAGTCCAAAGCTTATACCACATCTATCTCGAGAAGACAAATAAGTTTTTCTATTCCTCTCCTTAGGATGAGTTCGGTTGGACGATTGGAGTGAGAGTTTTCATATTACGTAAAATGAGATAAGCAATTAGTTTATAATTATTTGAGTACAAATTATTACAAAATTTAAAAATACGTCTATTTGACATTTTAAAGAAACTTCTATATAAAAATAAATTTGAAAAAAAATGCATTGTTTAGTAATTTGAACATTGTGAGTTGAAAAAGCTCAACACACTACCGGACTCAGCTATAATACAGCCATAATAGCCATGCCAAGGGCAAGGGTGCATTCGAACGTCAAGGTTCTTCAAAACTCACTTCCTTCACACGAAAAATAAGCTAACTCATTAGCGCGGGATTAATTAAGTATTAGCTAAAAAATTAAAAAATAGATTATTATAAT